GGCTGGCACGTTGCAGGTGCTGCAAGGTTGGCTGCTCCTGGCTGCCAGCTGCTTCTTGCCTCCCATAGGGGACATGCCTGTTTAGAGTCACACCTTGGCTTTAGAACTCTGCAATCTGCATCAGTACCCCACAAAGCTGCCCCATTTGATGAGTGAGCACTGCCTGGGAGGCACCAGGTCCCCAACCTTCAGGCTGATGTCCCCTAGGCTTCATCTCCAGGACTTTGCTGAGGGTGGCCACCCTGCCTGGAGGACTTGCCCTTCCTAGCTGATGTAAGGAAGTGACAGTGCTGACCCCACACCTCTGGGTAGTACCTTCTTGTCCCCAGAGCTCTCTAGGGACAAGAACATCTATCCAGATGTCAGCACTCTCACCCAAACTTTCACCCAGCTTCCTGAAGTCCCCAGTGGTGTTCTGATATGAGCACTGGAAATCACTTGCCCAAGAATCCATGACTCAATTTTGGCAGAAATAGAAAAATCCTAAAATTTATATGGACACTCAAAGGATACCAGATACCAAAACACACTCTTTTTTTTTTTTTTTTTGCAGTACCGGGGTTTGAACTCAGGGCCTCATGCTTGTAGGCAGGCACTCTATCACTTGAGCTGCTCCTCCAGCCCTTTTTGCTTTAGCTGTTTTTTAGTGGGGTCTCACTTTTTTTTTTTTTTTTTGCCTGAGCTGGCCTGAACCTTAATCCTCCTACTTGTACCTCTTCCTTAGTTGGGATTATAGGTACATGCTACCACACCCAGCTTTTTTATTGAGATAGAGCCTTGCTAACTTTTTACTGGGGCTGGCCTCAAAGCCTGATCCTCCTGATGTCTGACTCTCGAGTAGCTAGAATTACAGGCACATGCTATCATACCTGGCTGGCAAAAATCAATATTAAAACAAGATTAGAGTTCTCATGCATCCTGATATCAAAACTTACTACAAAACTGTGGCAATCAAAACAGTATGGCACTGGCCTACGGACAGACATGGAGCTCAGTAGAGTGAAGTCCCCAGCAGGAAGTCCTTGAACCAGTGGTTTTCAGCAAGGGTACAGACCAGCCAATGAAGAAAAGGACGGGCTTTTCAACAAATGGTGTCAGACACTGAATATCCACTTGCAAAGGAAAGAATATCCACTTGATAAAAGCCAATTCAAAACGCACCAGAGATCTATGCCTATAAAACTTACCAAGGAACACATAGAGGAAAGCTTCATTACGTTGGGTTGTCATGATTGTTTGGGATAGAACAAAAGGACAGAGGATAAAAGTAAAAATAGATAAGTTGGACTACATCAAAGTAAAAAACTTCAGAGCATCAAAAGATCACAATAAACAGAGTGAAAAGGTAGCCCACAGAATGGGAGAGAATGTTTACAGAGTATATATTTTGCTGGACTTGGTGATGCACACTGTAATCCCAGCACTTGGAAGGCTGAGGCAGGAAGGTTACAATTTTGAGGCTAGCCTGTGCTAAATAGCAAGACTGTTTCAAAAACAAACAAGCGAATAAATAAAACTTATATATCTGATAAGAGTTCAATGCATAGAATATACAGAGAACTAGTTCAACAGCAATAACAGAAAACCCAATTTAAAGGCCTTGTTCAAAATACACAAAGGGGCAATGAGCACACGGAATACTGCTCAATACTAGAAAAAAAGCAAATCAGAACCATAAGGAGCCAGGCAAGGTGGCTCACACCTATAATCCTAGCTACTGGTGAGGCAGAGATTGGGAGGATGGAGGTTTAAGGTCAGCACAAGCAAAAGGTTTGCAAGACCTCATCTCAACCAATGACCGGGCATGGCGTCCCATTCCTGTCATCCCAGCTGCACAGAGAAGCACTAATTGGAGGACTGTGGTCCAAGTCGGCTCTGGCATAAAAGTGAAATGTGATCTGAAAAACAACCAGCATAAAAGGAGCTGGTGGAGTGGCTCAAGTGGTAGAGCACTTGCTTAGCAAGCGTGAGACCCTGAGTTCAAAACCCAGAACCACCAAAAACAAAGAAAAAAAATGCACTCATTAGGAGGGCTGCTATCAGACAAATGGAGACTAAAAGACATTGTTGAGTATGTGTAGAAGTTGGAGGCCTGCATATTGTTGGTGGGAACGTAAAATGGTGTGGCCGCTGTGGAAGACAGTCTGACAGTTCCTCAAAAATGTTAGCAGAGGATTGCCACCTTGTGCAGCAACTCAACTTCTACAGATACTTGTGTACTTGTGTTTGTTACAGCATTGTTCACAGTTACCAAAAGACAGACGCCACCCAGGTCTGCATCATCTGATGAATGGAGACTGTGGTATATCCATGCAGTGGAATATTATTTAGCCTTTAAAAGGAATAAGGGCTGGGGGTATTGCTCAGTGGTAGGCACTTGCCTAGTATGCATGAGGCCCTGGGTTCCATTCCACCACAAAAAGGGGAGGATTAGAATTCTGACACAAGCTAGGATATGGAAGACATTGTGCGAAGGGAAGTAAGGCAGTCACACTCATATGTCTGCTTACATGAGGTTGTCAGGATAGTCAGTTCACAGAGACAGAGAGTAGAATGGCATGTGCCAGGCATTTAGGGGCAGGGAGAAACAGGGAGCTGGTATTTAATGGGGTCAGAGTTTCAGTTGGGGAAGATGAAAAATTCTGAATATGGTTGTACAACAGTGTGACTATACTTAACACTGTAGAACTGTACACTAAAAATGGTTAAAATGGTAAATCTGGTATTATTTTGTTCTTTTTTGGCAGTACTGGGATTTGAACTCAGGGCCTCATACTTGCTAGGCAGATGCTCTACCACTTGAGCCACTCCCCCAACCCAAATTGATGTTAGGTGTATTTTATCACAATGCTCCTACCCCCGCCCCTTAGATGCCTCCCAGGAATCTCCATTTCAGACTCTGCTGCAAGGGAACATAACCTACAAAGCAATCATTCCCAGTGTATAAAAGGTAAACTGAGGCTAGAGTGACTATGTGTTTATGTTATCCGTAGAGGTGGCAATAACCCCAAGTTCTCAGAGTTCTTAAGAGGTTTAATTGAATATTAAGGTGTGTAGAGCCCCAGCTCAAGGAAGAGCATCGGGCTGCCAGGGGAGGGTCTCCTGGCAAGTGTGAGGCCCTGAGTTCAAACCCCAATGCAGCCAAAAAAAAATTATAGTAAGAGCATCTCCTCTGAAGACAGGTAGAAAGAGACATGGCTCCAACTGAATCGTGGTCCAGTGTGGACAGTGCTTTGTGCAGTCCAGGTTGTGAGGTGGTGAGACCCTATCTCAAAAAACCCAACACACAAAAAAAGGCTGGCGGAGTGGCTCAAGTGGTAGAGCGCCTGCTTAGCAAGCATGAGGCCCTGAGTTCAAATCCCAGTGCTGCCAAAAGAAAAAAACAATGGTGGTGGTAACACCTGACAGATCTGTCATGCAGGTGAGCTTCGTGGGAGCAAAGCCTGCGCAGAGCACTGACCAGATACTGTTAAGATGGGCCCTGGTAGATGGGATGAAGTGTCAGCACCAGCCTGAAGCTTGGTTCCCCTGCCCCGGCCAGGCCCCTTTCCAGCCTGGCTTGCTCAGAGATGGAGTTTCAGGCCCTCACCTAGTTGCTGTGATTTACGGTGTCGCTGTGATTTCTCTTGTGTTGCACTAGACATTCCCATGCAGGTAGACTCCCCATGCTTCTGAAATATTCTATCTCTGCCCAACACTGGTTATTCTTTGGAAATAGTTAATAACAGTAAGACATGTGTCCTTTGATATTTCTTTTTGTTTTACTTTTTCAAAGCATTTATCGAATTTGCACTCTATTTGTTTCCAAAGTCCCTCTCTGTTCCTGCTTGTGACACTCCAGCCCCTGTAGGGCCGTGAGGGCAGAACACATCTGTCAGTGCTGTGATCTCAAATCCCTTGTGGGGCTGGCAGACAGCAGTTTTGAGTTTGGGAGTGAGAAAGTTGGAAGAAGACAGGTAATTTTTGCCTCTGAGTCCTGGTTGAAGAAACTGCTTCTCAGAAAAGTCAGAGCTGTCCCCAGAGTAACAAGAAATAGCACAGTGACCCAGGTGAATTGCAGAGTGGGGTCCATGGAGTCGCTAATGCAAATGACTACAGGGCCAGGCAAGTGGGGAGAAGAGCCAAGGGAGAGCAAGAAGTGGCAAAAGACCTCAAGGCTGGAGGTCACTGGGGGAAGAGGAAACTGTGGTCAACTGTGGAGCACATGTCCTGTCCACGGGACACCACTGTCACCTCTGCACACAGTTCTCCTGCTGGTCGTCTTTCTGATGATCAGAAATTCTACTTTTTCAAGCAGCATTGGGAATGTGGTATTGTATTTGAATTCCCCCAGCTGAAAACTCTTGGTTTTCACTTTAAATTGGATGAATTCAACTATGGTATATTGTAAGAACGGTTGTAGAGGGCACAATAAACCCCCAGTACAACAATAAAATGATAATGTAAAAACAAAGAATGAATCCTACTTAAATCTTATAAAAACAAAACTGTAGGTCCAACGTAAGCTTACGATGACCCAACTGCTAATTCTCTATGTATAGATAGATGAGTAAATTCCGAAGCAAATGTGTGGCCGTGTCCTGTGTAACGACATTTCATTTGCTGATGGATCTCACGTACCACAGTGATTTCACAAGATCACGTCGCCTAGTGGCTGTCCTAGTTTGTGGGAGTACACAGTAGGACATTCACACAATGGGACATGTTCTCGGACTGCACCCCCTGTGGTTAGGCAGTGCATCGCTGTACTTCTAAAGAGGTCTAGAACAAAGGTATCCTCATTTACTTATCCTGTCACCTGAACAGCACCCCTGCCCCGTATTGTGCCATATCCAACCTGTCCCATTCAAGCTGGCACTCTCCCCTCCCCCTGCCAAACCAAATCAATAGAAATGCCATTCAACTCTGCAGCCTCCCCTCTGTCCTGGGTGCAAGAGCTGTGCCACGAGACCATCCAGGGGGAGTTCTAGCCATCTTATCACATTTGCTTTTTTCTCTAGAGTGGTGAAATTCCGTCGCACGGGAGAGAGTGCAAGGTCAGAGGATGAGACGGCTTCCGGAGACCATGAAGTCCAGATTGAAGGGGTCCGAGTCGGCCTAGAAGCCGTGGAGCTGGACGATGGGGCAGCCGTGCCCAAGGAGTTTGCCAATCCCACTGACGGTGAGAGAGCCCTGCAGCCTGGGTATCAGCCGGGGTCACAGGCAGGGGCTCCCAGCCTCCTCTCTCCAGGTGGTGCTCTCAGATGGTTCTCATGGGAGGCAGTTGGCAGGGCCCAGGGTGACACTGCAAATGTGGCAGGGCCTAGCTGAGCAGGCAAGCTTATGCCACAATCCCTGCCAGGCAGCAGCATTGTACCACACTGACTGAGGATGGCAGCAACAATGGCGATGACCACAAGGATGGTGGTGCTGGGGAAGGTGGTGATGATCATGGTTGTGGTGATGATGTGATGGTGGTGGTAGTGCTGGTACTAGAGATGATCATGAGATGAAGACACTGGTGCTAATGGTGGTGCTAGTTTACAGTGATGGTGGTGATGGTGATGTGATGGTGATAGCACTGGTAGGGATAATGATGATGAGAGCAAGGGTGACTATAATGGTGATGGTGATGAGGTGATAGTGGTGATGGTTATGATGACGATGATGATGGTGCTGATGGTGGTGTTGATGTTGATGTTGGTGGTGGTTGGTGTTGATGTTGGTGGTAGTGGTGGTGGTGGTGGTTGTGATGACGGTGATGATGATGATTTGTGATGGTGGTGGTGGTGATGGTGGTGATGGTGATAGTGATGGTGATGGTGTGATGCTAGAGATAATAATGGGGTTGAAGATAGTGGGGATTGTAATGGTGATGGTGGTAATGGTTAATGTGGTGATAGTGATGGTGATGATGGTGGTGGTGGTGATGGTGATGGTGGTGGTGGTGATGGTGTTGGTGGTGAGTGGTGATGGTGATAGTGATGGTGATGATGATGGTGGTGGTGATGGTGGTGATGGTGATAGTGATGGTGATGGTGTGATGCTAGAGATAATAATGGGTTGAAGATAGTGGGGATTGTAATGGTGGTAATGGTTAATGTGGTGATAGTGATGGTGACGATGATGGTGGTGGTGATGGTGATGGTGGGGAGTGATGATGGTGATAGTGATGGTGATGGTGGTGGTGATAGTGATGGTGATGGTGGTGAGTGATGGTGGTGATGGTGATAGTGACGGTGATGGTCGTGAGTGATGGTAGTGATGGTGATGGTGATGGTGATGGTGGTGAGTGCTGATGGTGATAGTGATGGTGATGGTGATGGTGGTGATAGTGATGGTGAGTGGTGATGGTGATAGTGATGGTGATGGTGATGGTGGTGAGTGATGGTGGTGATGGTGATAGTGACAGTGATGGTGGTGAGTGATAGTAGTGATGGTGATGGTGGTGAGTGATGATGGTGATAGTGATGGTGATGGTGGAGATGGTGATGGTGGTGATGGTGATGGTGATGGTGGTGAGTGATGGTGGTGATGGTGATAGTGATAGTGATGGTGGTGAGTGATGGTAGTGATGGTGATGGTGATGGTGATGGTGGTGGTGGTGGTGGTGATAATGGTTGTGATGATGATGGTGATGATAGTGATGATGGTGTTTGTGGTGGTGACAGTGATTGTGATGATGTGGTGCTAGAGATGATGATAATGGATGAAGATAGTGGGGATTATAATGGTGACAGTGATGATGGTGAAGGTGGTGGTGGCAGTGGTGGTGATGATGGTGATGGTGGTGATGGTGGTGGTTTGGTGGTGGTGATAGCGATTGTGATAATGTGATGTTGGTGATGATGGTAATGGGATGAAGATAATGGGGATTGTAATGGTGACTGTGATGATGGTGATAACGGTGATGATGGTGATGGTGATGATGTTGATGGTGGTGGAATGGAAGCAGCTGATATTGGCTAAGGATTTCCTGGGTACCAGGCACTATTTCAAGCCCTCTATATGCATTACCCATTTAATCCTCACAACAGTTCCACCTGAACTCTTACCACCATTGTCCCCATTTTTAAGATGAAACTGAAGCAGAGGCTCCTGTATCTTGCCGAGCTAGGAGTTGCCAGGCTGGATTCATGCCCAGGAAATCTGGCCTCGGAGCCCACATTCTTGCTCAGGGCCTTGTGCTACGTCTGTACAGAGCTGGTCAAATTAGAGACCCAAGGTGGAACTATAGGACCTATCCCAGGTCCCCTCCCTTCCTGATGCTGAGAAATGAAAATATTCCCTGCAGTCTTGGAAGGCTCAGATTCCCAATAAGAGAGGACCAGTGCTGGGAGCTGGCAGTGTCAGGAGCAGAGGTTCTATGATGAGTTAGATGACAGCGAGGGCACACCCGAGTCCTCCTCTGTAACATGGGCCTAGTCTCAGCCTTAGGTCACAGGGTTTGATGGTGAGTCAGTGAGATCACGCACACTGGCTCCTGGGAAGCACTCACTAAACGCACAGCGATGTTATTACTGTTCTTATATTGATGATGCTGTGGGACTCACTCTCCTTTCTCCCAAATATTTTTGCTGGAGGAATTGCTGGAGGAACTGAGAACCTGTTAGTGTGATAAACACCAGCTCACACTTCTAGAGAACCGTACAATTGATGTAAGTGTCCATGGTTGAAATTCCAAAAAGATGACAGTTCCCAGCAGGGACGGAGGAACAGCCACCCAGCATCCTCCTTTAGTATTTTTATTTTTAATTAATTTTTTATTTTTGAACTGTTTCAGATTTACAAAAAAAAGTGAAGATAGTATGTATACGTTCTGTGACTACAACAAAATGAGTGGTATCATTAACTTAAAAAGAGGAAAGGCTTACTTTGGTTCATGGATCCAGAGGTTTCAGTCCATGATCAACTGGCCTGATCACTTTGGGCCTCTGATGAGATAGTACATCAGGTGACAGTGTATGACGGAGTAAGTCAGTCACTTCATGGTGGCCAGGAAGAAGAAGGGGGAAGGGGTTGTGTCCCAGTATCCCCCAAGGGCATGCCCCAGTGATCTAATTTCTTCCACCTAGGTAGGACCTCTGAGAGGCTCTACACCTCTCAATAGCACCATGACTGGAGTCTGAACCTTTGTCACCTTAGAGGGACATTTCAGATCCAAACTACAGCAAAGAATAGAGTTCCCATAGACTCTTCACACAGCCTCCCCTAAGATCAATATCTTACCTAATTGTGGTACATTTGTAAAAGTAAGCAATTATTCTGGTGACCATGGAGGGACATGAACAAAACTAAGGTATGAACTTCAGTGCACCACTAGAATCTACACTCCAGCCTTCATTCAGATTTTACTGGTGTTTCCAGCTGTGTTTTCCCAGGATACAATCCAGCATGCTGCATCCGGTTTGACAGTCTTTTAATAGTCCTAAGAATTCTTGTCAGTTTACAGATTATACTTTTTCCCCTGAGCACAAAAATAACACATTTCTTTGCAACACATTCAGACATTATGGAAACATCCCAAGTGGAACCAGGGAGTGTTATTCTCAAAGATGGCCCTGGTAACAGTGTGTAAGATATTCTCCTAATCTTCTGTGCATGACACCTCCTCTGGCACATACCACTCCATAACGTGCCTTTTCCACTTAACACTGCAGTGTGGACATCTTCCCATCTCTGTGCAGATGGGATTCTGCTTTTAAAGGAAGTATTTGGGGGTGGGTGTGTAGTTTGGCCAGTGGCAGGGCACTTGCCTTGCATGCATGAAGCACTGGGTTCCATCCCAGCACCACACAGGCACACTCACAAAACACTTATTTCTTCCTGACCGTGAAAGCAATAAATCGTAAAAGAAAGGCAATGTGTTTTATTTCTCCCCTTTCCCAATCCAAAGACAATAAAAATAAAACCATAATTTAAAGTCCTAAATACTCTATGCACATACATGTATACACGTGTACACCCAAATGTATGTTTCCAAGAACGGAACCACGCTAAATATTTTGCTGTCTGCTTTTGTTTTTAAAAATTAATTAATATGTTATGTCCATCTTTCTATATTGCATATTTTTATTACGAGTTGGGTCATGGCCAGGTGCTGGTGGTTCACGCCTGTAATCCTAGCTGTTCAGGAGGCAGAGATCAGGAGGATCATGGTTCAAAGCCAGCCCTTGGCAAATAGTTTGTGAGACCCTATCCCAAAAATACCTAACACAAAACAGGGCTGGCGGAGTGGCCCAAAGTGTATAGGTCTTGAGTTCAAATCCCAGTACTGCAAAAAAGTGAAATAAAAGATCTAGAAGCAGCCTATGCTGAGTACTTAGCTTATCTGGGGATCACTCCCCCCACCCCAGGCTAGCACAAATGCAGGGTGCATTGATCCTCCCCCCTCCCTCTCTCCTTCCCAGATACTTTCATGGTGGAAGATGCGGTGGAAGCTATTGGGTTTGGAAAATTCCAGTGGAAGCTATCTGTTCTCACCGGCTTGGCTTGGGCAAGTATTTCTGGGGGGACAGTAACCTCACATGCATGTCCAAGGAGACCCCCACTGCTCAGGGGATTTCCATGGCTTATAAGGAATGACACAGTTTCCTCTACCTAGAGTCTTTGCCTCAATTGCAACAGCAAAGTTGGTGTGGGGTGACAGGCGGTGATAACCAGGTCTCACCTGAGGAGGGTTGGGTGTGGTTGGTGATCTGTTAGGGGCTTAGGGCGACCATGGGATTATGATGTCAGCTGTGGAATTTGCCCTAGAAAAACAGGAACAGATAAAATTTGCCTTCTGGGCTGGGAGTTGTAGCTTAGTGGTAGAGCACTTGCCTAGCTGTGGGCAAGGACATGGGTTCCATCACCAGCACTGCAAAAAACAAACGAACGCAAACCATTACCTTCTGCTTCAAGGCACTCACCACCCTTTGCTAAGCCTCCTTTATATAGCTGTGGCAAATAGCATAGCCAGACCTTCCAACTAGCCGAAACTGACTTTTGTGACTGCTATGAGATGGACATCTATTTTTCCAAATGGATCCTCAGTTGCCCTCCATCATTTCTCTCACTAATTTGAAAAGTGTCGTTATCAAACACCACCCATCCATGGCTGTACAGCTCTGTTTTAAACCCTGTTTTTCATAATTCTGTCTAGTTCTGCAAAGATACTGGGGCTTCTTAGTGTATTTTAACATCTGAAGCAACCATGCTTGTTAAAACATACAGACAATTCTACGCAAATGGATGAGCTATGAACCAAAGACAAGTTTAGTGTTTAGTTGCATCGAAGAGACCACTGGCTTTTTTGGGATGGGATTTGGGTTTGAACTCAGGGCTTTGAGATTGCAAAGCAGGTGCTCTACTGCTTGAGGTGTGCCTCCAGTCCATTTTGCTTTGGTTATTTTTGGAGCTGGGAGTCTTGTGAACTATTTGCCTGGGCTGGCCTCAAACCGTGATCCTTGTGATCTTAGCCTCCCAAGTAGCTAGGGTGACAGGCATGAGGCAGCAGCACACAGCTGAGACTGAGCCCATTGTCTTTCTACCTCCATGGGGTTTTCCCACTTCATTTGGGGAGTGTCTGTACATGTCTTGTTGTGGATTCCTGCGTGGTAACGCTGGCTTAGCCACCGGAGTCCTTACATTTGGCTGTTTGGCACTGGCAGGAGGGAGGAGGGGGGTCTGCTGTGCTGGCCCCTGGGGTGAAAGACTTGGCCTCATGCTGTCCCCTTACCTGGCAGATGGCCGATGCCATGGAGATGATGATCCTGAGTATCCTGGCACCACAACTGCATTGCGAGTGGCGACTCCCCAGCTGGCAGGTGGCACTGCTGACCTCGGTAGGCAACCCAGCGCTCCCTGTGGTTGTGTACAGCTCTGGTCCCCTGGGTGTTCTGTGGGATGTCCCCCCCATCTCCTGCTGCCAAGGGCACAGCAGAAAAGAAGCAAGCCCTGGAGGAAATACTGTGACCTCGGCTGCCTGTAGTCACCCTATCTCATGTGTCCTGGGCAGCTGACTCCGCTGCCCAGGGGTCCAACTCCTTGGGGCCTCAGACATCCTGCTGGGTTTCTGGGAAGCCAGAACTTACCTGCAAGAATCACTCACACCTCACAAGCCCCACTTTCCCTGGCTGCAAAGAGGACATGCCAGCTTCTCTCACAGGATGATTTGAGGAGTAGAAAAACCAGATGTTGCACGCATGGTACCCAGTGCTGTTCCCTGGAGGAAAGGGAGCAGAACCCTCGACTTTTCCCGGGGGAAGCAACCTTCTAAAAGAAATGGCCAGGCTGGCTAAGAAGGTAATATGATGTCCACAAAGCTAATATTTATTGAGCACTTACTATGCACACAGCTTGAGCAACACTGTATACAATACATGCAGAGCACACATTGTGCCCTTGAATCCTCATGAGTTGGCACTATTACCAGCTGAGAAGAATGAGGCACAGGGAGGTTAAGCACTCACTCCAGGTCACACAACCCAGCTAGCAGCAGAGGAGCAGTTGCTAACTAGGGTTGCTTCCCGGAATGCTATGCAGGGTTTATACTTTTAATTATTTATTTATTATCACAGATAAATGTTTTGGAATGGGCTGGGTGCCTTCCATGGCACAGCATGGGCTGATGTGGGCCATGAGATCGTGTGCCTCAGTGGTGAGTGTACCTGGCACATACGCCCACTCTGCTGTGGTTGAATGAGACACTTTACGCCTCTGTTTTGTGACCTGCAAAATGGGCTTGGTAACAGGATGCCTGCTTTTCTGCAGGTGGGCAGGAAACTACATACAGTGCCCAGCACAAGCTTGAGTTGGGCAAATGAGACTTCTTTCTCCTGGTCCTCATTCTCTCAGGTCTTGCCTGCAGAGTAGCTACACGTCTGTGTTTTGTTGTGTTGGTTTTAGTTTTCATAAAATCTTTTCTTTTGCTGTTGTTGAATTCAACAAGCTTTTATTAAATATGCACTATTTTGACACTGAAGTGCTGAAGGTATTTACAGAATCACTCAAGAAGCTGCAGATGTAGCTCGGTAGTTAGATGTCTGCCTAGGATGCACGAGGCTCTGCGTTCAATCCCAGTACCAGAAAAAAAAAATTAAAATCATAGGTTGCAGATTACATTATTTCCAACCTATTGAAATATAAAGAATTTAAACAAAATTACCCTGTTGCTTTAAAAAAAAGTCACCCAATGGAGTGGAAATTCTTATCTGATACCCACCATCATTTGTTTAAAAATAGAACCAATGAGCAATTTGGAAGAATCTGGAAATTTTGCGCTGGGTTGTTTTTTTTCTCTTGAATTGTGCTTGCATTCCATTTAACCTGTGATTTTAACTCCACGTAATGTTTTCTTATGTTTCAAAGAATTGCATTTCTCACCTTCTCAGAGTTCTCTGACACAGGCTCTAAACCTTAAATTATTATTTTTAACTTTCTGAGATGAGAGGCTCTAAGTATTAAAGTGTTTCTCCTGCGTTGAGTTATCATTATAATTTTTTAGTAATACACAATAGATCAACACAAGATATAATTAATTTTGACAAATAATTGTTCAGCAAAGCACATTTTTAAAAAGCTGGGCACTGGTGTCTCTCACACCTCTAATCCTAGCTACTCAGGAGGCAGAGATCAGGAGGATTTCAGTTGGAGGCCAGCCCAGGCAAAAAGTTTACAAGACTCTATCTTGAAAACACCTAACACAAAAAGGGGCTGGTGGAGTGGCTCAAGTGGTAGAACACCTGCCTAGCAAGCTTGAGGCTCTGAGTTCAAACCCCAATACCACCAAAAAAAAGAATACATTTTTATTGGACTATCCCCAGTACTGAGTGGTATGAAATTTTCCTAAATATTTTATGCATTCTTGGGTGATCACTTATGGTCAAAGTGACAGAGGGTTTGGCAAAGGTCTCTTCATACTTGTCATTTTTATGGAATGGATATGGATATAAGAAGCTTTGTTTTGGGGGACTGAAGAGGTGTCATCATATCAATGAGCTAATGCCACTTCAGTATTAAAGCAATTTCCAAGTTCTGTCCCAAAGAGCACACAGTTATTGCTTATGAGAATTATTTTTAGTGATCTAATTTGCTGAACATTTGTTGGGATTACTCTTTAGTTTTGTAAAAAACAATATTAAAGGCACCCTTGTCATCCCAGCTACTTAGAAGGCAAAAATAAGATCAAAGTTCAAGGCCAACTCCAGGCCAAAAAAAAAAAGTGAGACTCAAAAAACAATCCAGGGCTGGCAGCGTGGCTCAAGTGGTAAAGCACTTGCCTAGCAAGTGTGAGGCCCTGAGTTCAAACCCCAATGCTGCCCCAAAAAAACCAAGTTAGGGGTTGGGCGCCAGTGGCTCACACCTGTAATCCTAGCTACTTGAGAGGCTGAGATCTGGAGAACTGCAGTTCAAAGCCACCCCAGGCAAATAGTTTGTGAGACCCTATCTCTAAAATAACCAGAGTAGAAAAGGCTAGGGACCTGGCTTAAGTGGCAGAGCAGTTGCCTAGCAAGAACCAAGCTGAGTTAAAACCCCAATACTGCCAAAATAATAATAATAATTATAATAATGATAATAAAGGTATTTGAAATTCAGTGACTTGCAAAAGGACTTGTGGATATATCAGGGCACCCCCTTTTTGCACTTAGCAGTGTATGCCTAAGGCTGGCAGAGTGAGAAGCGGGGAGAGGAGGTAGAAAAAGGAGAGGAAGTGAGGAGGGGCCCAGCAATCCTTTGACCTGCTCTGGGGGAAGAGTCTGTAGGGAAGTTGAGGATCTGGAAGTGAACCCTTTAAAAACTATCCGTGTTGCTTCTCCCCTGGAATCCTCTGCACAGCTGTCCTCCTTCTCACACTCCCAATCTGCAATTTAACCAACCATGACTGGAGGATATTCAAAGAAAATATCGTATCTCTACTGAGCATGTGCAGACTGTCTTCTTGTCATTATTCCCAAACAATGCAGTGCTACGACCATTTCCATAGCATTAGGGGTTAGAAGCCGTCTAGATGTGATTAACAGCACGTGGGAGCACTTGCACAGATTCCATGAAGATACTATGCATTTATATAAGAGTTCAGAGTTGGGCACTGATGGCTCACGCCTGTAATCCTAGCTACTAAAGAGGCTGAGATCAGGAGGATCAAAGTTTGAGGTCAGCCTTGGCAAAGTTCAGGAGATCCCATCTCCAAAATAACCAAAGCAAAATGGACTGGAGGTGTGGCTCAAGTGGTAGAGAGCCTGCTTTGCAAGGGCAAAGCCTTGGGGTTTGTTACATATATATGTACAGAACCCAATCCCCCATGGATACCTTGGGACAACCCTGGACCCTGGTTGGAGCCACTGGAGGACTTGCCAAGAGGAATGCTTCCAGGGTTAGACAGGACTGAGGCAGTGCCTGCCGCTCGCTCTCTGGGTCTCAGTTTCCTTACCTGTAAACCGGGGACAATGACAGCACCACCCCACAGGGCTGCTGTAAGATGAGGCCTGTGGTGAATATAAAGCATTCAGTGTGTCCTCTGATGCTTGGGGAGGGCAGAGCCCATTCCAAGGCCCAGGTCCACTTTCCTGGATTTAAGACTTGGCTTTACCCTCTCCTCTGGGGGTGCTGAGCACATGTCTGAATCTTTCTGAGCCTCAGCTCCCATCCATCAGATGGGGTCACTCAAGCCTGATCACTCTGTTAATCCAAGGATTGGTGACATCAATTGCCTGTCATAGCTCTCTCCATGGTGGCTTCTCCTACAAATGGCTTATAGTCCCACCCCCCCCACCAAACACACATCCCCAGAACCTCGCCTCGCAGCCCTTGTTCTTTCTTAGCATTCAAGCATGACATTCCTTGGTCTGTGACAAACTGGTAAAGTCCTAGCTCTGGAGACACACTGCCTAATTCCAGGCCAGGCTGTCCCACTTAACACCTGGGGACCCTGGCAAGAGACTTTCCTTTTTCTGAGTTTACTTTCCTCCTCCAAAAAATGAATAACAATAGCATCCACCATGTGACTGGGAGGCTTAAATGGTCATGTGACACTCTCAGAAGCATGTTTGCTGCCAGGTGTGCTGGCACATATTTGTAATCCCAGCACCTGAGAGGCTGAAAAAGGAGAATCCCAAGTTCCAGGCCAGCCTGGGCTACATAGCAAGGTCCTGTTTCAAAAGATACATACTGCAAAAACCAAAAACAATGCCAGCACCATGGCTGACTTACAGCAAATGCTGGCTTGTCACCATTACTGGGCTGTGACATCCCGGCTTGAGCTATATAGCAAGACCCTGCCTCAATAATAGTAGTAGTAGTAATAATAATAATAATAAAAGGCCTGACCCGTAATGCCAGGTGCTCGGGGGCCTCCGGGAGGCACTTCCTCTTGCTCCACGCAACTGTCTAACAGAAACTGTCTTTCCACCCTCCACCCGCAGGTGGTCTTCGTGGGCATGGTGTCCAGCTCCACACTCTGGGGAAACATCTCAGACCAGTACGGCCGGAGGACAGTAAGGTGGCCCCTTCCCAGCACGAGGCTCTGCATCGTCCCCGCGACAATGCCGACCTGTACAGAAACCTCTGCTGTGGCAGCAGTTGGGGTTGCATGAGGAGCAGTGTTGGGGTGTAGTGCTCAACTCACACAATCCAGGGGAGGGGCGAGAATGTGCTCTTCAGAATCTACTTGATGCTCTGAGTGCAACTTGTGTCCCCTGGATAGTCCCGGTTCCCTGCTGGGACAGACAGAAGATGGTAGAATGGCATCAGGTTTCTTGCTGTAATGTGAGTCACTTCTCAATGCCAACCAGACAGAGCTCTGGTGCCTGCCATGGGCACCTGCTCCCAAAGGCAGGCGAATTACTTGCCTCCCTGGCCTGTGTCGCCCTTCCACTCCTCTCCTGGGATCATTGCCTAAATAAACTATTTGTGTCTGGTATGGTGGTGCACGCCTGTAGTCTTGGCACTTGGGAGGCAGGAGGGTTGAGAATTTGAAGCCAGCCTAAGATATATAGCAAGACCCTGCCTTAATAATAATAGCAATAATAATAAAAGTCCAGGTGTTGTGGTGCACACCTGTAATTCCAGGTACTCAAGAGACAGAGGAAGGATGACATGGTTTGGAGGCCAGTCTGGGCAAGAATGTGAGACCCTATCTGAAAAAAACAAACTGAAAAGAAAAGGACTGGGGGTGTGTCTCACATGATAGAGTGATTTCCTATCAACTGTGAGGACCTGAGTTCAAATACTAGTACCACCAAAAAAACTAAAAATTAAAAAAAAGCTACTTATACTAGAGTCCTTATCTCAGGGTCTGTTTTTTGAGGCTGTTCAGACACGACAAGAAACAGACTTACAAAACCAGAAGGAAGAAGGGACCACGCAGGTCTGGAATTCCCTGGGCTCTTGCAATGGTGTTTGTCTGTCACCTCTGTGGTTCGTGGTCCACTTTGTAGTTCCCCTTGCTCATGGTTTGCTAGACAGTATAAGTCTTTGCTCCACTCTGGCCTGCACACTTGGTCCCCATGCAGATGGTGCATTCCCATGGGTCCTTCTTTCCAGGACCCTCCTCCTCAGCCTGCCATTTCCCCAGAGGCAGGGTGGTACCGTAAGTGCATGCTTGAGGCCACTCCTAACTCTGTGACTTTGTGCAAGTGAATCAGCGTCTCTGAGCATCTGTTACCAGAAGTACGTTGGAAGGAAATGGAGATGATGGCTCTGATTTTCGATGGAGAAATCCAAGGTGGGGCACGGGGCAGGCACAGGACACATGTAAGCTGAAGTATAATTATCACATTTCTTTTTTTTTTTAATTAATTTTTTGCTGGAGCTGAGATCTGAACTCAGGGCCTCAAGCTTGCTAGGCAGTGCTCTTACTGCTTGAGCCAATCTGCCAGTCCTTTTTTTGTGATGGTTTATTTCCCAGATAGGGTCTTGAGAACTATTTGTCTGAACGGGCTTCAAAACTGTGATCCTCCTAATCTCTCCCTCCTGAGTAACTAGGATTACAGGCTTGAGCCCCTGGCACCCACCAAATTACCACATTTCCAGCAAGTTCCAGGTAATGGTGGTACTGCATGTCTGGGGACCACTCTTCAAGAACTGTTTGCTTAGGCTCATAAAAATAACTCTCCTGGAACTGGGCATGGCTGAACACCTAAAGAAACTTAGAAAAATTCTGTAGGGAAGCCGGTGTCACTGGCTCACACCTGTAATCCTAGCTATTTGGGAGATCGGGAGGATCGTGGTTTGAGGCCAACCTGGGCAAATAGTTCTCAAGATGCCATCTCCAAAATAACCAGAGCAAAAAAGACTGGAGGTGTGGCTCAAGTGGTAGAGTGCCTGCTTTGCAAGTGCAAAGCCCTCAATTCAAACCCCAGTCTGCCTCCCCACATCCCCCCCCCCAAAAAAAGAATTCTGTAGGAAAGGAAGAGGGGAGATATGGGTAGTGGGTAGGTCGCAGGCGCTGTCTCTACAACTAATATGTCATGGGTTAAAAATAAAATAGTGTCCTGGACAGCAGGCACCACACCAAGCAGGATTCATAAGTGAACTCATCCAATTCCTCATAGCCACAGTCAAACATCCCTAACCTAAAACTCCAAAATCTGAAAATATGTTTTCTGTGCCAAGGATAGAACCCAGGCCTTGTGCACACTAGACAAGCCCTGAAATGCTTTAAGGATTGACATGACACTCAAAACATTTTGGATTCTGAAATCTTTCAGACTTTGCATTTTTAGATTCAGAATGCTGAACCAGTGAGGTTTATGCAAATTTTCCAAAATCTAAAAAAGTCCAAAATGTGAAACACTTCAGTCCCAAACATTTTAGATAAGGGATACTTGACCTGTATGATCACCTGACTTTACAGAAGAAGAAACAGAAACGCAGAGAGTGGGTCACTTGCCCGAGGCCACACAGTTTGTGTGACACAGAGTCAGGACTTGCTCTTTCTAAGTCTAGATCTTTCTCTTAGTCATGATGCTTGTGCTTAAATCTGAATGCACGCATGTCTGAACAGCTGTGTGGGAAGCAGCCTCCAGCTGCAGCCTCTAGACCTGCTCTGCCAGGAAGTGGTTGTGGCAGGGCTGGAAGCAGCAGGCTGGGAAAGGAATTGTCCAGAGAATCTTGGTTGGTTATGGGGTTGAAGAGGACGGTTGGAAAGGTGAAAGTTATTTATTCCCCCCTCAATCCCAGGGGAGCACACTGGTCTTCAGCACAGTTCCCTACAACCCACTGCATCCATGCTGCCACCCACTTCCTGTTTCTGGAGGGATGTGACTGGGCTTCAGTGGTTTTCTGGTTAGAAGGAGGAGAGGGCAAGGAGGAAAGGAGGAAGGGAGAAGGGAGGATGGGAGGAAGGAATAAGAAAGAAAGGAAGAAAGGAGGAACAGAGGAAAGGAAGGAGGAAGGAAGGGAGGAAGGGAAGAAGTCAGGGAGAAAGGGAGGGAAGGAGGAAGGGAGGAATTCTTGAATCACAAAGCAGTGAGGAATACAGGGAAAATGAGTAAAAATACCCTAAATTGGGGCCTGGATATGCCCAATTTGACCCAAACAAAATTCTCACTCTGGGGCCTCAGTTTCCTCATTTACCTCAGAGGAGATTAGACTAGATATAGTTGACATTAATAGCTACCTTTTACTAATTTCCCCAAAACAAAAGGCAAATGCGTTTCTGCCTCCAGGTCTGTTCGAGTAAGATATTAGTTTTTATCATCACTGTATCCAAATACCTGAGGGAAAAAGGATTTCTTTTGGCTCACGATCCACAGTCCATTGCTCTGTCTATTTGGGGCCTGTGGTGAGGACAAGGCAGAAGGCATGTGGCGGCAGGAGTGTGTGGAGGAGGAAGCTGCCCAACTTCATGGCAGTTAGGAAGCAAGCGTGAAGAAGGGGGCAGGGACAAGGGATAAGCAGCAAACACACACTCCAGTTAGGGCTTGCTTCCTAAAGTTCCCAGACCTCTCAAAATAGTGCCACCAGCCAGGAACCAAGCCTTTTAGGGGCAGACCCATCATATCCAAACCATAACAGTGGGAACATGGATTTGAGGAGTCAGAAGGCTCTGGGATCAGTTAGTGATGTCTGCCATGGGCACAGGTCCTGAGAGTGGGCGTGAGTCTGGTAAGCACTACAAAGAACGTGGTCACACCTGCTTTGCTCACTGCCATGGTGCAGGGCCTGCTGCAGTACCTGGCTTATCAGAGACATTTAATAAATGCTTTTGTTTTTTCCTTTCTGATACTCAGGTTTGAACTCAGGGCCTTGAGCTTACTAGGCAGGTGCCTTACCTCTTGAGCCATGTCTTCAGCCCAGCAAATGCTTGTTTGTTGAGTGACTGAGAGGAGATGGATGGAATCAGATTTCCTCATTTTTATTTCTGTGTCCTTGTCCTCTCCTGGCTTTACTGATGAATGCACTTTCTTCCCCTAAAAGTTCATGAAAGTTCTCAGCAAAGGGTCCTGACCTTCCTCAAAGAGTACATTTGTTCTGCTGTCAAGGGCAGTAGTTTGTATCTGTGTACCCAGGAAGGAACCCTGCAGAATAGAGCTTATGAGCTTGGATTTTAAAAAGATTCATAGGTGGGTTTTACTGAGCCTTCTGGAGTGTAACCACAATTTGCCATCTAGAACAGTTGGGAAGGGGGACACTTGACAATGTCTGCAGACATTTTTATTGTCACAACTGTGTGGAAGCTGTCAATTCTACCCAGCACCCACAGGGCACAGGATACCCCACACTGAAAAGAATTGTCCAACTAAGATGTCAGCAGCGCCGAGGTGGAGGAGCCAGACTCCAGGCTGCGATGCCACCTCGCAGTATTTTGGAGTTCATTCCTTGTCCTTTCTTCATCACCTGGGACTGCTCAGCCCTCATCTCCACACTTGCCCGATGGCTCATTTTGCCACAGCCTATCACTGTGGAAAGCATGGGCTCTGAGCCAGACTGCATGGGGGTTCGAATCCCACCTTCTCCACTTGTGGATTCTCCCTGTACCTCGGCGTTCTCATCTGTAAGTGGGTTGCTAATAGCCTCTCCCATGGGGCTACTTTGTGGAGGAAATGACTTGCACATAAAGCTTTTGGCACAAAAGCTTTTACAAATGCCTAGTTCTTATTCCTATCATTTGCCAACCTGGTGGTGGCCATGAATGGCAAGGCAGTATTAAAATATAGCCGCAACTGCACCAGTATCCACGACCTTCACCTTGACCTTGGCTGATGGGTGACAGAATGGAATTCTCCTTCAGAATTCAGTGGCTGTCCATCCATCTCAAATAGATGGGGTTTTCCACCGGCTGTCCTAACCAGCTGGCTAAATTCCACAGCCACCGCAAAGCTGGCATGACCAGAGAGGGAGGAAGTACGGCAGCCTCCTCCAGCCCAGCACGGAAGTCCATCCCTAGGGAGCAAGGACTGGGCTGTAATTGGAAAGCTTCCCCACACTCCTCCAAGAGCCTGGGCACACCGGCAGCTGACAACCTCGGCAACCACTGAGTCTCCAGAAAGTGACCGCAGCGGGATCAGGACTTGCCAGCTACCTTGGCTCCTACAGAAGTTTCTATAGTATGGGAGATCGTGACAGCCATGAAAAGAGGAAGGTCACGCTGGGTGGGTGGCCCTGAGGTCAGGGAGATGCACACATCCAGGCACCCTGTTGAGTAAGGTGACTTGGGCAAGTTGCTTCACCTCGCAGAGCCTCAGTTTCCCTATCTGCAAAGTAGAGTTGTAAGAGGAGCACAGATGGTTGATGGGAAATTCAGTAAGAAAACGCAGCACACTTGGTGTTTGCAGATGCTCGGTTAGAGCGTGGTAAATGGTAACGTATTTGGGGAGCTCAAAGGAAAAACTTTCAGAACGGTATGGCCAGGGCACTGTCTGTCAGAAACTCTAAGGCTCATGGTATCTTTGAGGATGAAAAGCAGGTGCCTGGCAGCAGTAGGACTCTGCCTCTGGGCATCCTTGGGCATCCTTGGCCTGTGAATATTGTCCTTGACCTTGGAGAATACCATGGTGCATATTTGGCCAGAGGTCCCCAGGCTTTCTAGACTACACGTTGCAAGCTGGTGACACAAGGACCAAATATGCCCCTGTGTGTTTTGGTTTTGTTGGAGATCGGACCCAGAAACTCTAGCATGCTTAGCACGCCTTCTACCACAGAGCTACACCCCAGCCCTGTTTTATTCCTCACGATGTTTTAGAGGATATTGAATCAGTTGCCTCCATTGCAAAAATGACACATTTTGCATAAAAATAAACATGCATTTTTTTTCTTGAAAATTGGGAGGCATGCCAAGAGCTGGTGGCCTATAATCCTAGCTACTTGGGCGGTTGAGATCAGGAGAAATGTAGCTTTAGGCCAGCCAAGAAAATAGTTTGAGAGATCCTATTTCCAAAATTACCAGAGCGAAATGGACTGGAATCATGGCCCAAGCAGTAGAATGCCTGCTTTGCAAATGCAAAGGTCTGAGTTCAAACCCCAATCCCAACCAAAAAAAAAAAAAGAAAGAAAGAAAAAAAGAAGAGAAAAGACAGAAATCAAAATGGTCTCTTCCACAGGATGGCTGTGAGGATACAGTAGACTAATGTGAGAGCAGTTTTAAAAATTCTAATGAACCAGGCACCAGTGGCTCACACTTATAATGCTAGCTACTTGGGAGGCTGAGATCCAGGAGGATTGTACTTCCAGGCCAGCCCAGGTAAAAAAAGCTCATGAGACCTCCGTCTCAGCAGAAAAAGTTGGGCATCATGGTGCATGCCTGTATCCTAGCTAGGACAGGAAGCATAAAAGTGTAGAACTGAACCCCAAAGCTGTGGTGCTCCTTCCTGTAGTCCAAAGCCTAGCAAACAGCACTATATGGATAACTGAATAATATGTAGCAGTTCCTTTACTGCCAGGCACACAGCAGGTGCTCAATACATGCGTATTGAACAAATGAATGCGTGAACGAACAACGTATCAGTACCTTTAGTGCTAGGCATACAGTAAGTGTCCAGTACATGTCTATACCAAATAAACAAATGGATAAATTAATAAATGAATAACATTTATCAGTGTCTGGCATACAGCAGGTGCTCAATGCATACTTATTGAATGAATAATTTGGCGAGTAAGGTTTATGTAGTTATCTCTACAGCCCGGCATGGAGGGGATGTTTGGTGAAGCATATAAAAGAAGGGAAGGGAGGGCAAGGGCTCAGATTATGGAGGGCAGGTCGGACGCCAAGCAGAGTGACAATGTGGCCAAGGGCAAAGGCCATAGGCTCGTCTGCAGTGCCAGAGATGCTACCCACAGCATTGCACGTGGCGCTGACCCTTGCAGAGAGAGCACTGGCTTCAGTGCACCAGTGCAGAGCCAGCTGCCATCTGTAGTGCCCAACAGATCAGGTGAGCTCACCTGCCCATCTGTGCTGCCTGGCAGGAGGGCGACACTGCTTCCAGTAGCTCTTGCGGGAGGCTTGGCCCTCACCTCAGTCTCGGTGCTCTCTCCCCCCTCCTCTCCATTTACTTGCTCTGATTTCCTCCTTTCCTCTTATCCCCTCTGCTGCTAATTACATCCTGGGTCTGGGTTAAAACTCCTTGGGCTCCAAGGAAGAAAATCCCAAAGAAAAGAGTTAAGTGAGGCAGGAACCAGTTTCACACTCACAGATGTAGGGACAGAAATGTGGCTTTGTTTTTGCCTCTTAGACTTCAGTAATCCCTGCCCACTTATTCTTTTATGTACTTGCTATTTTGGTTTTGTTTTATTTTTTGAGGTGCTGGGAAGCCAAGCCAAGAACCACTGAGCTACACCCCTAGCCGTTTCTTTCTTTCTTTCTTTCTTTTTTTTTTTTTGGTGTACTGGGGTTTGAACTCCGGAGCCCTTTTATGTGTTGGGTATTTTTTGAGATAGGATCTTGTGAACTATTTGCCTCGGCTGGCGTGGAACCTCTATCCTCCTGATCTCTGCCTCCTGAGTAGCTAAGATGACAAGCATGAGTCACCAGCACCTGGCTATGCTAGCTTTCTTTATATCAATTTACTTTTTAAAATTTTTCAAATGTGGTGTTTTGTTTTTTTTTAGAAAAGGAAACTTTAATAGAGGTCACAAATGGAAAATCAGTAATAAGCGTCCAAGTAAGAAGTGTGTGCAAAAATAAGTGCAGGGGACAGTAATGAGCGCTGGCCTAGTGTGCACAGGTCCTGGGTTCCATCCCCAGCACTGCAAATCCATCAAAAAACACAAAGCTAACCAAACAGTGTTATTAATTCCCGCTGGTCACAGGTGCCCCCTGCCTGCTCTGTCAAGAAGAGAGATGAGCAGTGTGAAAATTGTGTCCACAGGGAATGGTCAGAGAATGGAGACTGCAGGGAAAAAGAGTCTTTTTTCTCTCTCTTCTCCATCCTCCTGCTGTCTATACTTTATTCTGTTATACTAAAGTAAATCCTAGCTAAAACTTCAAAAAAAAAAAGATTGTAGTGAAAAAGGAATAATTTTTTTTGCAAGGAGATACAAAGTTACTTAAAAATTTCTATCACCTAAAACCGTTTTCTAAAGGACCTAAAGTCATCTCATAGACTTTCAAAATTTCTTCCTTCCTTCCTTCCCTTTTTGATGTTACTATGAATTTGAATTCAGGGACTTACACTTGCTAAGTGAGCACTGTACCCCAACATCCCCACACCCTTTTCCCTGATTTATCTTTCAGATACTGTTTCACACTTTTTGCCTGGGCCAGCCTCAAACTGAGATCCTCCCAATCTCCGCCCCTGGAGAAGCTGAGATTACAGGCATGTGCCATCATGCCTGGCTCAAACTAAATACATTCTCAACAAGTCCATAAATGAATTTCAAAGATAGAATAACCTAGTCATTCATGTCCTTTAAAAAAAGTAGCAAATTATGATGCCCTAACTATAATATGAAGGGAGAATTGCTGAAACTCATTAATAAAACAGGACTAATTTTCAGTATGCAAGTATTCACACACAAGGAAGTAGTCAATATATGCCCTGGATTATAAATAAGTATTGCCTGTGATTTTTCTTATAATATTTGATATTGTGAAATAAGGTTTCAATCAGTCTTTTTATAGATAAACCTAGTGAAGGAAGATGGATACTGAAGCAATCCACCAGTGACTCAAATACCTCAGGCAGCCCGGCATGGTGGTCCACATCTGTAATCCCAGCACTCAGGACTCTAGACAGGAGGATCACAAGTCTGAGGCCACCCTTGGCTGCAGAGTGACCTTTGTCTCAAGAAAAAACAAAATAGAATCCCAGGGAGCATTGCCATAGACAATGTGGTTTTCTGAAATGAGCAATTTAGTAACGTTCTGGATGAAACAAAGGAAATCTTCCTTTGATTTGCCTGGAAGTTGCATTCCTGAAAAAGTAAGGGCACACTCAGAGCATGCTACTGCCCAGTCCTACTCACTCGTGAAAGCAGATGGCGGTCTAGGCGAAGTCAACACAAGCAGCGCGTTGGCCGCATTGAGACGGGGTGACTTGCAGAACAAGTCATTGTGTCCCATGTGCAATAGGACCACCTCTGGGACTGAGTGGACTGGATGTCAGCCAGCAGGACAGGCAAGCATGGCTCGGTTTTCTCCCGTGCCTCCCATAACACAGAGCACCTGGTGGCATGGGTGACGCCTTAGCCTGACCCCGTTGGTAGCTTTTCAATTTAATTTAATTTTTTGGGATGCTGGAGATCAAAGACAGGCCCTTGCATATGCTAAGCAGGAATGGTGCCCCTAACTGCAGCCCAGCCCTGCTGGGGGGACTTAGGGGGTGGGGGGCAGCCCTGGTGATCCACTCTCTGTCTTCCTTCCCTGCAGGGACTGAGGATCAGTGTGCTGTGGACACTGTACTATGGCATCCTCAGCGCCTTCGCGCCCGTGTACAGCTGGATCCTGGTGCTGCGAGGCCTGGTGGGCTTTGGGATCGGAGGGGTCCCCCAGTCGTAAGTAAACACTCAGCTTTGGCTGTGTAGCTTGCAGTCAGTCAACTACCCAACTCTCCCTAGGCATAGGTTCTGTGTTCTCAGATTCAAAGTTCCTGGGGACAAAAGCGCATCTATACTGAGTACACTGGCGCTACATAAGCTAGTTACTCTGCGTTATGTAAGACAAGTCATCCAGAGGCGATTTAAAGTCACAGAGGGTGTGTAGGTTTCATGCAGCAAATGCTTTATTTCATAGAAGGGGCTACTTGAACGTCTTGGATTCGGGTTTCTGAGGACTGTCCCAGAACCAGTGTGCCCAGGTGCTGAGGGATGGCTGTGTGTCTCTGTGACCTTGGCGGCTGCAGGGATGGCTGTCCCCAAGTGCTCTCGGGATTAGGATCCATGGTATGGTGAGAGAGCTGCGCAATGACCAGTGTCCTAAAGATGGACATCACCACAAGAACTGGAAGGATGTAAAATTAAAATAATTTTTTTAAACGCTAGAGCTATCCCCGAGTGGACTTTTTCCTTTTTGGTGGTACTGGACTTTGAACTCAGGGCCTCCCACTTGCTAGGCAGGTGCTCAAGTGGGAACTTGAGCCACTCCACCAGCCCTTTTTTGAGTTGGGTATTTTCAAGATAGGGTCTCAAGAACTATTTGCCTGGGCTGGCCTCGAACCTCGATCCTCTTGATCTCTGCCTCCTGAGTAGCTAGGATTACAGGCATGAGCCACTGGTACCTGGCTTTGAGTGGACATTTCACTTGGAGCCAGTAGGCGTGTGCTGTTGGGTCATTGTGACCTCACTGTTGCAGCAAGGAAACAGACCCAGAGGGTGACGTCCCTTCCAAGTCACGCAGTGTTTGTGTCTAACCAAGAACCGAGTTTGTCTGTCTACACTGCCCATGGCGTCACCACCACAAATGCCAGCTCCCCCTTTTCACCGGTGCTCATGGGAGCTGGCCTGGTTTTATTGTCGCTGTTGAAGTTTAAACGGAAGAACACTGAGTGGCGGGGAAAAGCCCCTCCCTCCTGGGGGTTGGGGAAGGTGTCCCCACAGGGACACCAGACTGAGCCCTGAGCTATGGAGCGGGGGTGGATGTGACCTGCTGACTGGCTCTGGAGCTCAGCACACCCTTCACCTTCCCTTCTCCGTGACTGTTTGTGCGCCAAGCAACTGCACCAAGGAGTTCCATGCTGGGACATTTACTGTGTGGCCCCACACAGAAAAAGGATGTTGACCCCCCACCTTAAAAAAACAAAGTCAGTAGAGCGCCTGCTTTATGAACCTGAGCCCTGAGTTCAAACGCCAGTCCCCCCCAAAAAATACAAAAAAAAAAAAAAACAAAAAAGTCAGTACTTCGTGTTTCGTGTTCACTGCATGGCAGGTGCTGTTGGAAACAGTTCACCCAGATTATGTGGTTTTGGTTTTTCTTTTTTTGGCAGCACTGAAGATTGAACTCAGGGCCTCACACTTGCTAGACAAGTGCTTTACCACTGAGCTACTCCATCAGCCCTTTTCCTTTCCTTCCCTTCCTCCTTCCTTCCCTCCCTCCTTCCCTTCCTCCCTCCTTCTCTCCCTCCTTCTATCCTTCCTTCCTTCCTTCTTTCCCTCCCTCCCTCCCTCCTTCCTTCCTTCCCTCCTTCCTTCCTTCTTTCTTTCCCTCCCTCCTTCTTCCCTCCATCCCTCCCTCCTTCCTTCCCTTCCTCTTCCTTCCTTCCCTCCCTCCTTCCTTCCCTCCCTCCTTCTTTCCCTCCCTTCTTCATTCCCTCCTTCCTTCCTTCCTCCCTTCCTTCCTCTCTCTCACATTTTTTTTTTGCTTTAGTTTTTTGTAGATAGGATCTTGCCATTTTCCCCAGGATCACTCTTGGACCCTTGGACCACGATCCTTCTATCTTTGCCTCCCAGGTAGCTGGAATTATAGATGTGTACTACCATACCTGGCCCCCAGATTCTCTTTTAATCTCCCAATTTTCCCTGTAAAGATATAAATTTCCCTATTATTAACCCCATTTTATGAAGAGGTAAAGAGACATAAAGTAAGATGGACCTCCGGAACGTGGATCAGCTGGGCTTAGGCCCTCCAATTCCAGAATATCTCATAGGAAGGGAATGCCACAAATATAGCAAGCCAAAGCTGAGTTCAAGGAAGGCTACTGGTTTGGTTTTAGTTACCTACAGGAATGAGATCTGTGAGAATTCAAAACTGGGGTGCCAGGTGTGGTGGCACACACCTGTAATCCCAGCACTCAGGAGGCTGAGGCAGGAGGATTGTAAGTTCAAGGTTTGTCTGGGCTTCATAGTGAGACCACATCTCAAAAAACCAAGGGCTGGGGTATAGCTCGGGGAAGAGTAGAGCACTTCCCCAGGATGTGCCAGACCCTAGGTTCCATCTCTGGAACTGCAAAGCTTGGGTCAGACAGACAGACCCTTAAAGGCCTTGAATGCCAAGATAAAGGGATTGTCTATAGGTGGTAGGGAGCCTCTGAGAGTTCTTGAGCAGGGGAGGTACTTCAGAAGTATTAAACCGGCAGTGGTGGGTGGGATGGGTTGGAGGTAAGGAATCCTACTGCGATGATTTAGGGGAATTTTGTCAAAAGCCCAGGTGAGTCTCTTGTAGTTGATTCACAAATTCATACTTCTTCAGCACCTTTGATGGCACAGGCTTTGCTGGGTGCTGGGGATGCAGCAGGGGGCAAGAATGACAGGTCCCCAGGTATAGAGGGGAGCCTAGGAAACTGATGGATTAGTAGTAGGGTGGTTACTAGAACCAACACTTGTTGAGAAAAGCAGGACCTGCAGGGGGAGTCTGCAGTCCCTGCCATGGGGTGCTCTGAAGTGTCTCTCCTGCTCAAGAACTCTCAGTGGCTCCCACTGCCTGTGGACAGTCCCATTGGCTGGCATTCAAGGCCTTTAACAAACTTCTGTGGTCTGCTTGTCCAACCTCAGCTTTCAAGTCTCATGACTGCAACCCTACAAGCCAGCCAGCCTGGACCAGTGGGCTTCCTCCCACCCCACTGCTCCAGGCATTCTCTGGCCCTTCTTTCCATACAGTTCCCTTCCTATGAACATCCTCTGGGCTGCAGAAGCCCTTCAGACTTGTGCTGCATTGAGACAAGGGACTAGAACTTAACCCTCACACCAACCAGGGAGCATGACCTTAGCAATGATTGCACATTTCACTTGGACACATCACAGCAGCCAGCAGGTGTGTGCTGTTGGGTCAGCGCCGTCTCCATGTTACGGTTGAGGGAAATGAGGCTTGGAGAGTGCAATCCATTGCCCAAAACAAACCCCATAACCTTGGCACAGCGGCAACTGTAGACCAAGGTAATGCTGCAAGGGATTGAGCTGTGAACTCTTAGCAGGAAGCACTCCTGGTCACACCTGAGAGAATGAAAGTGCTGTTCATTTCATTCCTTCCTGAATGGTGAATCCAGGCAGTGCAGTGCAGCACTCTCTGCAGTCCACCCGTTCCTCTACAGTCAACCCTTCCTCTGCAGTCCACCCCTTCCTCTGCAGTCCACCCCTTCCTCTGCAGTCCACCCCTTGCACCTCTTGAATCAATGTGCTTCCTGGCATGCGTCTCCCACCTGAGAACATTTTCTCCAGGTCTCAGGCTAGTCTCTCTTCCCAGACATACCCACGGATGGCTGGTGGGAGGGACAACAGTCCCTGCCACTGCTGCTGGTTTCAGGTGCTGAGTCCTCCCTTCTCTGCCACCCAGTTGATATTCCCCTTATCTTCAACTACACTTCCACAGATCTAGATGGTTAACCTGGTGGGGCAGCTCAGACCCCATGTGAAAGGGATCTGAGTGTATAGTCACCATTCCCTTCTAAGGCCGTAGTTGCTGAATTTATCCTTTGAACACCAATCTGGGCAGGAGAATATATATCACCTGGGTACCCCGATTATGTAACAGTGGCCCTACCTGCCCCTGACAGGGTCAACTTCTTTCCATGGTGAATGGCCACTCTTTTTCTTGCCTGCTCATCTCTTAATACAAAGATCCCAAAATTACTGGGCGGCAGCTGCTGCTTAAAGTCTAACAGGACATGTGAGGTGTCCCTGGTGGGAGCTTTCCCTCTCTGGGAGCCAAGACCTCTAGACCCACAAAGCCTAGAAGATGCAAAGAAAAGAGACCATACAAATACCCCCATGGGCTACAGGGAATGATGACAATGAAGGCCACTCCTACTTCAACCCCTTGATTCCAGATCCATGCATTCCTTGCACTGGGAACACAGCCTTCTAACAGCTATTGACTTTAGCATGCTCTGTGTCCTGGAGGTCAGTGCCCTGTCCTCACAGGGCCTCAGACCCTCAAAAGACTGTTCTCTTGTTTTCTCAGGCCTGCAGCTCAGGGTGGCATGGTATGTGACAGGACCAGTGGTCACGTACCCACTGTTGCACCTCCTCTGGGGAGACTGAGACAGTCTAGCAGGGGGTGCTAATTTGGAAATAGTCTGCTCAGATCATGGAGTCTACAGTCAGAGTATTGGGGTTTGAATCTTGCTTCTGTCACATAATAGCTTGGACAAGTCCACCCCTTAGTTGCCTCATCTCTAAAAGGGAGGTGATAGCCTACCTCCCGAGGGTCCCTTAGAGTAAATGATGACATACGTGGGGCCCAGGAAATGTCTGGTGTAGAGGGTCAGATCTTAGCAAGTATCTGATTTGGTAAGAACTTCAGGTTCAGTGGTGAGCGATGGACACGGTGTGTGATTGTGTGAAGAGGAGATGTGACCACATGGATCTAACACGCAAGCAAGGCTCCAGGCTCCTCCTACCGTGTGCAGTGCTCTGTCCTCCTCATGCTTCCCTCCCTTCCTCCTGATGGCTTTCTCCAGGGCTCTATGGAGTGGGCATCTGACATACTCCCCTGGGACCTGAAATGTGTTTAAAAACCACTAGAGCTTGAAGCAGAGACGATGAACAGAGCCACAGCCACAAACTGGGCTGGCATGGGTTGGTTGCTAATTGCTCAACTTGTGTCAGGAATTCCTGCAGATGGG